GATGACATATTGGTATACTGAGCTGGTCCTGGTACCATGTGACTGCTGTGACCAATCACATCAATCAAATGACATTTGTACACAGTGAATGGCTTTCATTCATAGCCATTCTTTGTGCTCTTTTGTGATGAGCTCTGTGATTGGTCACAGTGATCACATGGTAAAGACAGGGCCATTAACAGCCTATCTATACCATGTGATTAGCTGTGGCCAATCACAGCTAATCCCAATACTACTCAATTAATGGCTGTGAGTGAATAGCTGCCATTCATAAAAATGATTGCTTATAACAGTGATCATCACTGTTATAAGCAATCACTACTATGGTAACAATGCACTGCTCTGGTCATAGTATGTAAAAAAAAAAAAAAAAAAAAAAATTAAACAATTTAAAAAAAATATTTTTTTTTTTTTTAAAAATTAAAAAGGTAATTATTTGTTCACATATTGTCACCAGTCAGTAGTCCTAATCACCACCAAGCCAGTAATATAATGATGATGTAATACACTAGTGACAGTATGTACAGAACATTGTGAACAAAAATGCATATTTTATTAATTTAGTTATAGTGCAAAAAATTGTGACAAAAAAATTAAAATTTCCAAAAACTTGCCATACCTCTTGCTAAATACCTTGGACTGGTTGATTCCAAAAAGATGTAATTTGGGGGGGTATAAGTACTGCCCTAGCATTTTAGGACCTCAAGAAATGAGATAGGCCATCATTACATCAGGATTGATCAATTTTCAAATATATATACCATAGTTGCTAGACTTTATAACTTTCACACAGACTAAATAATATACATAGATATGCTTATTTTTACCAAAACAATAGTAGCAGAATACATTTTCACCTACATTTTTAAAGAAAGATTATTTATTTGCAAAACTGTATACCGTATATACTCGAGTATAAGCCGACCCGAATATAAGCCGAGGTACCTAATTTTACCACAAAAAACTGGGAAAAACTATTGACTCGAGTATAAGCCGAGGGTGGGAACACCAGTGGGAAGAATCGTGCCTCATCATTGGTGTCAGTGGGAGGAATAGTGCCCCATCATTGGTGTCAGTGGGAGGAATAGTGCCCCATCATTGGTATCAGTGGGAGGAATAGTGCCCCATCATTGGTATCAGTGGGAGGAATAGTGCCCCATCATTGGTATCAGTGGGAGGAATAGTGCCCCATCATTGGTGTCAGTGGGAGGAATAGTGCCCCATCATTGGTGTCAGTGGGAGGAATAGTGCCCCATCATTGGTGTCAGTGGGAGGAATAGTGCCCCATCATTGGTATCAGTGGCAGGAATAGTGCCCCATCATTAGTATCAGTGGGGGGAATAGCACCCCATTATTGGTGTCAGTGGAATAGTGCCCCATCTTTGGTGTCAGTGGGAGGAATAGTGTCCCATCATTGGTGTCAGTGGGAGGAATAGTGTCCCAACATTGGTGTCAGTGGGAGGAATAGTATCCCATCATTGGTGTCAGTGGGGGGGTGGAGGAATAGTGCCCCATCGTTGGTGTCAGTGGGGGGGAGGAATAGTATCCCATGATTGGTGTCAGTGGGGGGTGGAATAGTGCTCCATGATTGGTGTCAGTGGGGGGTGGAATAGTGCCCCATCATTGGTGTCAGTGGGGGGGGAGGAATAGTGCCCAATCGTTGGTGTCAGTGGGGGGGGAAGTGCCCCATCATTGGTGTCAGTGGGAGGAATAATGCCCCATCATTGGTATCAGTGATACCAATGATGGGGCACTATTCCTCCCACTGACACTTGCTGACCCCTGTTCCAGTATGGTGCTGCTGCAGCCAGCATATGTGGTTGCAGCAGCACCTAAGCACGGCACACTTACCTGCATCTCCTTCACTCGATTTTCACGGGGCCGCTCATCTCCGCCTCCTCGCCGGTGATTGGCCGCCTGTGTGCCTTTCCTGAGCTACAGTTCTGGCGGCCAATCACCGGTGAGAAGGCGGAGCCGAGCAGCCGCGCAAACATCCAGTGGACGAACCGAATGAAGGAGCAGCCGCGCTTCCTGGACCGGATCGTCGTGGGACCGGAGCCAGGTAAGAGACAGCAGCCCCCTTCCCACCCCTGTACGTACCGTAGTTTCCCTTCTGTTGGAAGGGGGGGGGAGCCATCTGCAGACGTTGACTCGAGTATAAGCCGAGGGGGCCGTTTTTCAGCACAAAAAATGTGCTGAAAAACTCGGCTTATACTCGAGTATATATGGTAACAGAATAAAAAAAAAAGTGTTTTTTTCTTTAAATTTTTTTTATATTTTTTAATTTATATAGATAAAAAAACAGGGGTGATTAAATACCACCAAGAAAAAGCTCTGTCTGTCTAAAAAAATATAAAACTTTAAATTGGGTACAGTGTTGCATTTAATTGTCATTCAAAATGCGACAACCCTGAAAGCTGAAAGATGGCCAGGGCAAGAATGGGACAAAAGTGTCCGGTATTAGAAAGTTTAAAGACTGTCTATATTAAAAAATAAAAAATGTATATATTGCATCTTTCCAATACATGGGTGTTGTTGCTACATTAATTTTTTGTTTTAAGTTTGTTTTTCCTTAATTTTTCTAGTCTTAGGGCGGCTTATCTATCTATGGAGGACCAATGGAGACTCCCTTTGACAGAAGCACTGTCTGGAGATTGTGATGTTAAATGTCTATACATTGATTGAGATTTGACCCATTCATCAGGGACCTCCTCAATTTCAACCAGTGTGTGTCCATCCCCACTCACAGAACTCCATCATTTGATCGACTTCTGTGGAAGGGACATGCTGGAAATGTTTTTCTTGATCAGCAGCCACTGATGGTGCTGGTGCAGCTGTCAGAATACCATGTCTCGCCAGGGGAGATTTCTCCATATACCTTGTTTGCGTGGATGGAGAAATCTGTTAGTTTGACTGAGCAAAAAAAACTAACAGTGAATGGCCAGCTATGTATCTTTAGTACTGAATTCCCATCACAACATTCTTACATTTCTGTCATTATTATGCCAGATTTTACCACTTATTGCACCATTCCTTATTGTATAAGCATATGCTTGTTTATTTTTTACTCAGGGCAGTTATAACTAGATATTTATCTACCAGATTTTTCTATTTGAAAATAGTGAGACTGACTCCTGGAAAGTTGCCAGCTTGGTGGGAATAATTACTTTAATATTGTTTGACAATTAACTAATAACCCACGTTCCATCATTATGTGAAGAATCTTTTCTTTTATCAAGATGCCTCATACATTGTAATTATTACTTTATATTGTTTAGCTCGGGAAGGGTTTTATTAGATTTATTATTATATTTACATTTCCCAGTAGCCTCCTATAACACTATCACAACTTTTTATTATATGCTGATGTATATTTACAATCTAAAGTCATTTTGTGACTTGTACTTTATGGACTGCTAATAAGCTGTTTTTTACACTGTATGAGCAGACGACACTCTTGGGTAACATTAGCATTTGACTAATGAGTATTTCCAACACTTTAATATAAGCTGAAAGACGAAGCAGAATGGTCATTGTAAGACACCACAGTTTTTTAAATAACAAATATGTAACAATGTTATTTCTTATTTTTGACCAATTATCTCTTAGAATTGTTGGAAATCTAATACATACATGGGTGTTATACAGCAATGTATGAATAAATAAATATTTTATTTGGGAAAGTAGTCACTGCGGATTTTCTAACAGTGCTTATAGGATGATGTGAAATGTCTGCTGGGAAATCCATCTGCTGACTGTTCTCTAGAAAAACCCATGCATAAACATGTGGCTTAGTATCAGCTGAAGACCATTGGCCAGTTTGAAGGAGGTTGAAAGCTCCTAGCACAGGGACAAGCGGATCTGCTGGCATAAACATAGTTGGTAATTAAAGACAGCATCAATGAGTAAACCAAGGGTTGTGTGGCTGATGTGGTAGACAATCAGAGCTGAGTTCAAAGTCAGGGCAACTGAGAAGACAGAGCCATGGAAAATAAAAGAAAATAAGAAACACCAAAAATTCTGTATTCTCATAGACTGTAATTAAAATGCCCTTACAAATAGCTGAAATAACTTATCTGGCTGCTGGAGTTTACATCTGTGGAGGCTTGGTCAGCATGTGACGAACTCATATCCGGCTAGAATGAGAAGCTTCAAAGCAGGGGATTCTGTGTCGCTGTTGGGGTACTGTTAGTGCCCCTTGCTCCCAGAAGCTGTCAGATGCCCCACCTCCTCTGGAAATGTCAGATACATGCTTTGGAACATGTTTCGGGGTTGTACCCCTTCATCAGCTTTCATTAGCCATCAACATCAGTACAGTATGCTGGTGTGCTGTGGTTTTTCTTTTTGTTTCAAAAGGTGTTCCAACCAAATCACTAGCAGCAGGGCTGTGTACAAGAAATCTAATACATTTGACACCTCATTATTATTCTCCTGAAAATACCATAAGCATGGTACATACTTTATTCCGTACATATCTTTTTCTTAGTTTATTGTTTTGGAAGCCTAAAATTATTGGTTCACATTCTGCATTGCTCTTCTAGCTCTTTTGTACCAGAGGCACCTTTTGTTGTCTGCTGGCACCACAACTTCCTTACTTTTTGTCTGAAGCGAAAATGGAATAAATTTTGTTGGGGGTCAGCACACAAAATGAGAGCAAAGAAAGCAAATAAGGTAATTAAGTACTTATTATACCACCTTGTTTACAAATCTGTATTTAATAAGTGTGCGTACAAATACAACAATGCAGTGCAAATCCATATCTCACAACTGTCCCTCCTCTAAAGGGATGGTCCCTCATTTGAACCAAATCCATTTGTACCTCTTTTTTTTTTCACAAATGGCCTTTTCTTTGGTCTGATATATAGACCTCAGTAGTTAAATAGTTGTTTTTTTTACAAAGTATGTTATACTACCAGGGGCGGACTGACCATTCGAGCACTCGGCACTGCCCGAGGGCCTGGGGGTCAGTAGGGGGGGCCCCAAAAAAATGACTCTGGTACCTTTTATAGGTTTTTTTGGGTGTGTTTTGAGTGTGGGCAAGGACACAGGGGCCCATGATCCCCAATTGCCCGGGAGCTCCATGAGTTGTCAGTCCGCCCCTATAACAAAAAACTTTGCTTCAATTTCTTAATTATGCAATCTGTTATTTTGAGAAACCAATATAAAAGAAAAGTAATGATAGAAAAAAGAATTAAGAAATCATTGTTTACATATTAAATGCATTGTACACTTTCAATTGTTTTTGCTGTTTTAACTAGGTATTAGTGCAGTTATATTCTTTGTGTTGTTTGCTTTATCTTCTAATGATTGGTTTGCTTGTTGTGGCTGCAGTTTGTAGTTTAATTGCTGTTTAACCACTTAGTAACCTAGCTATAGCCGAATGGCGGCTACAGCGTGGTTACCCAGTTCTGGGAGGGCGTCATATGACGTCCTCCCAGAACATGAGCACCCGGCACTGACGGGCACAGCTGATCATGTGATGGGGTAAAAGGCTGTAAGGGAAAATGGAGCAGCCATTTCTAGATATAAATATTGATTTAGTTCTTTATCTCTCTCTATCCTTGTCTTGGTCTTCACAATGACACAGTTACAATGAATAGAGCTTTATACAGCTGTGTGATTGTTTTAGGGCTTTATGCATAGATGCATGTACTCCTCTCAAACTTTTTAATGCCCATGACCAGACTTCTTTGACATCCTGTTAAACCCAAGGGACAATGGAAGTAACAATAACGTGTTAACTATTCGCATCTCAATGAGTTACACCAAAGACACAGATGACTCTTCAAAGAAAGATCAGATAGCTAGGTACCACCCACTGTAGAGCATATAAATTGTATTAGAAAACCCTAGTTAGATAGAGCATTTCTTTGAATCCAATACCATGTAATGTTCTGCTCTCCCTGCATGGAGGTCTAGCTACATGCTTGTATAATAAACATCTACTTTTCAATCCGGCTTCAGCAGTCAAAATGTTACTGAAACCCATGAGTTTTGGGTTTCCCCGTCAATTTGGTCCTTCGAGCCGGAAAGGGAAACTCTACAGACATCGTTTAGACACAGAAGGACAGCACAACCTGGGAAGTCATCTCTGCTGGCATTGGTAAGCTAACTTTCTGCTTACTATGATTTCCCCTTGTGCTGTGCCTTTGTATGTAAAGTCGATGTTGTGGAAAAGTACCCTTTCCAAGAACCTTGACTGTTGAATTTTTTTCTTTTCTTTTTACTTTCCATACTATCTGTTACTTATTACTGTCCTTTTGCATGAATGTGTTCTGCTGAATGATTTGCCCTATTTCAGGTGCAATGTGTGGTTAGGTAGGATCTCTGCAGTTCCTGTTACCGGGCGACTGGGCAGGTCAGGGATCGGGTCTTCTGACTCAAAATATCTTGAGGTATGACTGATAAGGTACTAAGTGTGGTGGGGCCACGTGGTCCATTACCATGGGTGACAGGCTGCTTAAAAAACAGCACTGCTTGAAACATTAGTACCAGTTTTGATTGATGAAGCTTTTTTTTTTTCTCTTCTGCGTGGCTCTCCATAAAGTCACACCATAAGTAGAGGAACTGTCTGTCTTTTCTATTCTACAGCAGTGTCTATAAACTGATGTGAAAGACTTTTTAGGGAAACAAAGCTATCAGATACTATACTTTCTCTAAAAAGTTCTATAATCTTTTCCTATTGAAATTTTGGTTGCTTTGGTTGTACTGTATTGATCTCTTTATGCGCTGCCATGTGTTTTACATATAAGTGGACTGTCTCTCTTTTTGTAGAAAGAAGTTTTTTTTTTTTTTTACATTCCTGAATTGTTTTACTCTGTATAACTGAATCCCCTCAGCCTATGTGACTGAGGTGTCCCTGTTCAGTCTGTGTGGCTGATTTATGCATAGTATAGTCTGGTATATATCCTTGGCCAGGATTGGGGGCCAGATATACGGTTCCTGCTATTATCTAGGTATATCGTATCTTTGCATATGATCGTGGGGGCCTAGTAATAGATGAATTCTGACATTATCTAGGTATATCGTATCTTGCATTTGATCGTGGGGGCTTAGTAATAGATTAATTCTTGAGGAAGTCTCACCACCGTGTGAGATGGGGAATTGTACCACCGTGTACACCCCAAATGGGTATCTGTGTGATCCCACGGGAGCTCCTCCTGGATTGCCAAAGTACATGATATATAACTTTGGAACAGGAGTGGCTGAATCCCTCAAGGAATGGAACCAAGGCACACAGGGGTTTAGTACCCCTAGAAGGGAAATTTCACCTTAAACTCTTGAAAGAATGTAAAAAAAAACTACTACCCAGATACTTTCAAAGATAAGACAATTGAACAATGTGTGAGTGAACAAAATTGTTGAAAAAGGAAATAAAAGAGACTTATAGTCCTATATAAGAACATGAACCTGGTAATATTGCCAAATAACTGTAAGCACATGATAGCTTATACTACCACCCCTGCTGCCTACTTACAATGACCTAACTAGAAGCATGTGTTAAAGCCTACTGTAAGTATGAACACCAGATAAAAAAAAAAAAAAAAAAAAAAGGGAAATAATGAGATCTATATATAGATTTGAGGTACAGTCCAGAAAAAAAAAAAAGAGAGAATGCAGCCTTATTAGAGAAATGTGCTCATATTTTTGTCTAGAATTTAAGCAAGCTAATTGTGAGAGTATGTTGTTGTGTTAAGATGTGTGAGATCCATGGATTGTATGTTGTATTGTCTGGGTTGACTGTATTAATGTGCCTAAAGTGCCCTGTCAGCAAAATATTTGACAATACTGATTCAATATCAGTGGCATAATGATTTGTTTTGTGTTTGTTACTTATGTTTTAAGGTGATGTGATGTTGCAAGTAAAGGTAACGAGTCAATACCATGTTGGTCATGGCAACATCTAGAAGATAAACACATTTTGATCTTAAAATTACTAAATTTTGATTTTTGACTTTTAGAAGTTTAAACAAATTGAGACATGATTGGGGTAACTAATCACTTAAAATCGTAAAGCTATAAGTGTAATATGCAGAAGTTTTGCACTTTCCAATTTAGGAATGTGATAAATTTAATGTAGGAAAAAAAAAAAAAAAAAAAAACATGTAAAAATTGGTTTGGACATTTAAGCACACCCATTTGCCGTTATTAAAATTGATAAAAAGTCAAGGGGAATATTAAAAGAATTAGTGACATGTAAAAAGCATTTTCACTGATCTTATTTAAAGTTTAAAAATCAGGAGTGCTGTCTCATATGTTTAAGGTGCTGACAGCCCACCGAGTGCTGACCCCCCCCCTTTTTCTTTAACACAGGTTAATTGCATGGTTTGTGAATGAGAACAGCTGTATGGTCATGCAAATTTACTGAGCCAAGTGAACTCTAAAAGGAAATCAGATGTTAATAGTGAATTGTTATGTGTATTCACTATCTGTGTGTTGTTTTTTTTAGAAGATACAGTTTTGGAAGTTTCCATGTGTTCAGTATGGTGAAGTATAACTCTTGCACACAAATGGTAGCTTACTAAAAGGTTTACATTGAGCTGCTCATTTTTAACCATGGTGTATAATAATAATTTTTTTTCTTAATGGTATACCATAAACAAAATCCACGTGGTAATAATTAATTTGACGTCAATAATTTTTGGTATTAGAAAAGTGCACTGTTAGAACAACTAAGAGAAAATTTTAAAAGTATGTACTGTATGTTTTGTTGTTAGATCTTTAACCATTGGTTTATTAGGAGGAAAGTGTCATGTTTGTTACTAAATGTAATTGATGCTTATTCATCAGATTAGATCAATGCCTTGGTTGGACTTCTTTCAGGCTTTCAGAACGGAAGATCACAGCCTTCAAAAAAAAAAAAAAAAAAAAATCAACCAATGGAAGTATTGTTCCAAATTGTTTTTCTTCCTTGTGTTTTATTAGTCTGTTTTCTTTTGTAAATACTTAAATGTTTCACCCCCATTAGCTGATATCGGTGTAGTTGGTTAAGTTTGTACCTTCTTTGGAAGTTCCTAGTTGCCTATTTATTGGGTGTTAGATCTTCTTTGTTGTGTGTTCTGATCTAACATGTATGGGCTCTGGTATTAACGAGTTCAACACTCTAAGAGAGGTCCCCAAACGAACCAGACAAAGCCAGAAATCCCCTGATACCAGTGACAATAGAACTGAGCATTTTCTATCTTATAAAGTTTTTATATTATTGTGAAAGTTTGACTATTGAGTTGAATAATTGTTTCTCTATTTTAACACCTATAATATCCTAAGAAATATAATGAATGTATGTTAGTGTTACTATATTGATTGTTAAGCTCAGTTAGATATTGTCAAGATTTTAAATTAAATCTATGTCGGGGTCTTCAGCTTTTCTTCAGATCTGTCTCCTCTATTTCCAAAGAGCAGCAGGGGTATGCTGGTACATGTAGTTCCATGACTTTAAATTATAAGGTTCTGCTGTTGCCTATTGTCCCACAAGACTTGTGTTTAAGGCTGCTTAAACCTCCTGCTGATTTAATGAGCCCAGCCAGGCCATCTCTTCTCATTCTAATGTGGCTCATTGCCTCAGGCTTTACACCTTAAAGGTCCTAGCAGATTGTCTCTGTGTCTCCGAATGTGTTTCAATCCTGTTTCCTGTTTGGTGTCACCGTACATCTCTATCTGCTCTTAGAGACCCCTGTTTGTTTTGCTTGCTTTACTACCTACTCCTAGTTTTCTGTTCCCAGTGTCTGTGTGTTTCTATGCATGTCAGCTTGAACTGAGCTCCCTACTGTCCAGTGATCCCTGTGCCTCATCACTGCAAGGGGTTCTTATTTATCAGTTAGTAATTCCCAGTAGCTTCCTGCCTGGGTGAGTACGAGGACCGCAACCTGGGGACTGTCTGCAGCAAACCCATCTCTACCTTCAAGAGCTCTGGAGAAGACAAGGCAGTTCCTTAGACTCTGCGCCTCGGCCCTTACAAGGGCCCTCGCCCTTGTTGCATGTGCGGACATGCTGTGTTCTCCCCAGATGATACTGTTGGGTATCCTTCCTGTCTTAGAATCCTTGATATATCAGCTGTATCCTGTGTGCCTGCATTCCCTGTGAGCCCTGATCCCCAGTGCTACAAGTGTTTCTTACTAGCATTTTGTGTCCTGCTTGATTTTAAGACCAGTGCCCCAGTGCTGAACTGT